GTCTTATTTAAGGAAGTGGGGCGTATGGACGCCCCCCACCACCACCACGCCCACGCTTGCACGAGCACACACTTTATTGTGTTGGCATGAACACGCGTGAGTCTTAATCAAAACCACGGGTGTCAAACTCGCTGTTGTCGCACAAAGACCACGGGTGTCAAACTCGCTGTTGTCGCACATTTTAGTGCCGGCTTCTCTCAGAGGGCCGTTATGACAATGAAACCATATTTTGCTTTGTTTTGAGAAATGTATTTTTTACTGTGAACAGTACATTTTATTTCTACTGCTTTATAATCTGATAGTTTCCCCCCTTGTTCTCTGTAATATCTGTTTTGTGGTGTTTTTTTCCCGTTTCGATTAAAATGGGTGGAGAGTACAAGAAATAGTTTCTCGAATGTAAAATAAATAAATAAATAAAAACTCTCTGCATTACACGTGGGCCCTCTTGTGGCAGTAAGGACTCAGCACACTCGTCAATATTTTTTTTTCTCATATACAGTACAGTTGAATGAATGAGAATTCCCGCTCTGAAAACCGTGTTGCACTTTCCACTTCCGTGTGAGTTTTACCCGGGAAGCGTCTCCACGCTCTCTTGAGTTGATTCGAATCGCACTTGTGACACGAGGTGTGGCTTACCGCATGCAAAAGACGCATCAGGTTTGAATACTTTCTAGTTTATTGATTAAAATAACACCTTAACTCCTTCACCTCCTTCAGCAATCGTTGGTCAAGAGGCACTGGGACGAGCTACGCCAGTCATGTCGGTATGTTAAGCATTTCATCACTCGACACTCGATCGGCAGTTTCAACTTTCAACAAGCACAGTCTCATTCGACGAGAAATAGTGACTGCATTAGCATATGATCATTAGCACAGTTTGCAGGTGTTCAAAGGTATAAAGGGTCCGGGATGGGTGGAACACCTTACGGTGTAAGGCTTACTCAATTTATATTTAATATAACTATTGCCGCTGAAATAACACGTGCGTGTGTGTGTGTGGGGGGGGGGGGGATCAACTG